TCTTGAAGTCTTTAAACCCTACTAGACTTCATCTTGAACCTCTGATTCACTTCAAAGATTCCTCAGTTAGATTGGGTCCAGCCTTTACCAGCGTAACCCCCTCTGAATTAGCCGAATTTTATCCTTCCGGTAAGTCCCCTCTCCCCTTTGATTCAGAGTTCCCTCTTATTTCAAAGAAAGGGAAAAAAGTGAAGCCTTCATTCAGCATAAGAAACTGGCCAACATATCGTTCATCTTGGTCTTCATGGGTGAATCGACTTTCCAAGGACGAAAAAATCTCTTCACAGTAGAAGAAACAGGGCATCTATGACATTATCCAAATCAGTAAGTCCTCCATTACACTTGATCCGAACCTCCTCTTTCCAGCTCTTTTATTTTGGTCTTCAACCACCAATTCCCTGCATCTCAAATGTGGAATGATGTCCCCCACTTTGAGAGATATTTGTTGCATTACAGGTCTTAAACCCCATGGAGATGATGTAAGCACCACCCTCTTTATTGAACAATTCCTTTTTCCTACCAAAACCACTGGAAGTAAGAAATTTATCTCCTTCCATCTCCCTTTTATTAAACACTGTAAGAAAACTGGTCCAGTTCAAGAAGATGAGCACATTACTTTCCTGATTTGTTGGCTTTCTGGCCATTTGCTGTGTGTTCCATCTGGCCAAGTCACAAAAGACTTTGTTCAAGTAGCAGTTTCCCTAGCCAGAAATGAAGATTTGGCATTAGCTCCCCTTGTGCTTTCCCACTTATACAGAGGCCTTCATGACCTTCTTACTTCAAAGTTTTCAACGTTCCAAGGCCCCTTTTGGTTATTCCAGATGTGGCTTAAAGTGTACTTCCAAAATAGAACTTCATCCCTAATCACTCCAACTGGAAAATCCCTTCTATACCATTCCTTGGCAACAGTAGATCCTTCTCCTTTCAGCTTTGCTGAGAACTTCGAGTATTTCTACAATCAGTGTGAGACTGGCAACGATGAGTTCTTTGATCCATTCACCGCCATTGGTCGCATGCCATCATGGTTGGTTCCATCTCCTGGAGTGTCTATCAAAAAACATTCTGAAGATTGGAAAAATATTTGGGCCAGTTTTCTTTTTGCTTGTGACCTCCATTATAGCACTGCCCAACCTACTCTAAAGAATAGCTTCTGCGGTGTTGAGTTCTATAATCCAGCCCAGCTGGCAAGGCAAATGGGTTTTTTCCAGATGATTCATTTGCCGCCTTATAAATCTTATAACAGATTCTTTGACCAACATGTTCGTCTCACAAATGCTGAACAATTCGCAGCAATTGATCAAGCTTATGCAGTAGAAAGAGCTGTTTTTAACTTCCAAGGCCATACCATCAAGCCTCAGTCCACCAATGAATTTGATGTATGGTGGTCAACTTACATTTTTTCCACCCAGACAAAGAATCATAAAACTGTCTGTGATTCCATACTAGTTTCTTTCAAGCCTTTATCTCCAGGTATAACTGTATTCACTATAAACTCTATTTTCCATCTTTCCTTATGAAATCCATCAATCTTCCATATACTGAGACTTGGTAAATTTCAGATGGAGAAGAGGAAGTACTCGAAGAAAGTGAGGAGGATGAAGGTAGAGAAAAAGTTACTATAGTGACTGGTAAGATTGAGGGTATAGCCGAAAGTGGGGACGTAAGTATTGAAAGTCTTTCCTCAAGCGATGACGAAGAGGAAGAAGAAGAAATTGAAGAGGAAATACAGGAAGAAGAGGAAGATGCTTTGTAAGGAAAAGGAAAGACTCCTCAGGTATTTCAATGCGAATGTACTTAATTTTCCTAGATTCTTGCCTTACTTACATTTCCTCTTGCAGGGACTAGCTATTGTCAAAAAAGAATTTCAACCCCAATTCTCCTCTTCCGATGAAGATTCCTCTGATGAAGAGGTTGGTATTTCCAAGGGTCAAACCGCTACTCAACATTCTAGCAAAGCCCTTAAAATGCGCAGCCCTTCTGGAAAGATTGTTGGAAAAGCGAAGAGAAAAAGCATGACTTATTTGGAAAAAACTGAAGAATTCCAATAGCCTAAAGACTCTCTAAAGTACAAAAAACCCAAACCAAACAAAGAAATTGTTTTGGTAAGTCTCTATTCCCACTTCTTTCCAACTTCGTTACTAAAAAATGTTTATAAATTTCACCAACTTTAACTAACATGGCTCTTCCATGGGACACAACTTCATGAATATCCATTTGGACCAACAAATTGCCCAAGGAGAGGATTTAGCCCTTCAAGCTTCAATTATGGAAAGTTTGACCAGCAAAAAGAAGAAAGTCTGGCCATTCGAACTTCTACAACTGGAGTATCTATCCCTTCCAGAACTGGTGGAACTTCTGCAAGCCAAGTTCCTTCCATTCTAGAGGCAAACTTCCATACTTTTAAACTTCGCCTCCTTTCTTTCTTTCTTTCTATCTAATACAAAGTTGCTCTCATTTCAGGCCACTTCTTCTATGTCTACCTCAACTTCCTTTATGGTGCAAAGAAGAGCTCTTCCGGCTCTGGCCGATCTTTATAAAGTGATCAAGGCCACCAAATGTTCCAATACTTCCACCTCAAGCGCCAGTGTTCTAATGCTTCCAGGAACCTCAGATGATGCTATAACTGCAACTAAAGGAAAATTATTGTCTTACCTTGCCCATGATGTAGAAGATGTGTTATCTTTTCACCAAAGTTTGGCCAACACTATAGTAACCGTGTTCTCTTTTCACCAAAGTTTGGCCAACACTATAGTAACCCTCAAGAAACACCCTGAATTTCCGGAATCTATCCAAGCTTATTTAACCAAACTACAACACCAACTCCAATTCATCGTCTCCCATGTAAACTCCAGTACTTCCGCCATTTCTGAATGTGATAAGGAAGCCAAGCTCAAAGATAAAGCTCTTGAAGATTTCCAACTCTCATTAGAACCCTACCCAGAAATCAAAGAACGAGCTGAGAAGCTTATGGCCAAGAAAGAAAGCTTGAATGAAGAATTGGCCAAGATTCAAAGAGAGTTGGAACAAGTGGAACGTGAAGAATTTGAGTTGGACCAAACAGCTAGTACCCTTGTTAATGCATCTGAACCTTTAAGGAAGGAATGGGAAAAACGGGTTGATGAATTTCCCAAATTTTAAGAAGCTAAGGTTAGAGCATTGGCCACTTTTCATGAACCAAGGAAAATTTGGATGGAACTTGGAAGTGCTCTTGCCTCTATTTGATCCCAAATGATTTTTTTTTTCTATGTGGTTGTTTTGAAAATTATGGTGTAATGGATTGTGGTAGGAAATAAATAGTAGATACTTTTTTGGAATCACTTGTATGGCCAACTCTAGGTTTAAGTAGCCATTTTTGGGCTTTTGTAAAGAAATCAAGTATCTAATGGAATGATATTTTATTTCTCAATCCATCGCATATGCCTTTTTCACCATTTATATGAAAAGAAATGTCTAAGTCACTGAAACTGAAAGATTCCTTCACATATATTAACAATAAGGCATAGCCATAAAATGGCTTTCCATAACAAAGGAATTCAGAGAAATAAAAGAAATTGCCATAATGGAAATGCATGTATATACAAGCAAGACGAACGATTTCCAGTTTGAACGAAACCTGGACCATGTAATGTAGCTGTTTTTGTATTGAAGTCTTTGGAAATTAGCTGATATTGGAAATACAACTAAGTCCACTTCATAACTTTATCCAATGCACTTTTCCAAGTACTTAACCACTTCTTGGAATAAATCTTTCCTTCGTTTTATCTTGACTATCAGAATGGCCAACATGACTCCTTTCCTGGTTTACTTAGAAAGGATGTTACCAGCCACATTATGTGACTGGTAGAATGACTGTAGCTTTCTAGTCATCATAGATGGAAGGGTGATACTCTTTCAAGTATACACCATTCAATGGGTGTTTATAGGACCCTCCATCTATATCCATCAATCTATAAGCCCTTTTCCCAAGGACTTTTTCCACCAAGTAAGGACCATCCCAGTTAGGTGTCCATTTTCCATATTCCAAGGTTTTAACCCTAGGTGGAAATTTAACTTGCCATACCAAGTCCCCTTCAATAAATGTCTTTACCTTAACCTTCTTATTATATGCCCGCATGACTTTCTTCTTTTGAGCAATAATATGGTCTAAGGCATTAAAACGGACTTCATCAAGGGCTTCCAATTCCACCAACATGGTCTGGTTGTACTCTACTGGAGTTAGCTTATTTTGGAAAGCCACCCTTACAGACCTAATGGTTATTTTCATTGGAAGAACGGCATCATGTCCATATGTAAGCATATATGGTGTGACACCCGTACTTGACTTTTTTGAATTCCTGTAAGCCCTAAGGGCCTCAAAAAGTAGGTGATGCCACTCCCTTGGATGGTTCTCAATCATCTTTTCAAGGATGTTAAGAATCACTTTGTTGGAAGTTTCTGCCTGTCCATTTGCTTGGGCAAAATATGGAGTAGAACTGATTACTTGAACGCCACATTCAGCACAATAGTCAATGGCCTCACTTCCAATGAAGGAAAGACTTCTATCTGTGGTGAGAGTCTCTGGAATCCCCAATCTGTGTATAATGTGCATCTTGATGAAATTAATGACTGTTGGTTGCTCACAAGTCTTTAATGGAATGGCCTCCACCCACTTGGTGAAATAATCTATTGCAACTACCATATAAGTGTGACCATCTGCAGATGGTGGCCTTAACTGTCCAATGAAGTCTAAAGCCCACCCTCTGAATGGCCATATTTTTACTATTAGCTGTATGTTTATAGCTGGAACTCTCTGGAGCAGGCCATGTTCTTGACATGCAATGCAGGTTTTTGCAAACTCTATGCAGTCTTTTAATATGCCTTTCCAATAATAACCATACCTTCTAAGAAGCCACCTCATCTTGATTCTAGCTTGGCGTGCTCCGCATATTCCAAGGTGCGATTCTGCCATTACTCTCATGGATTCATCCCTACCAAGGCATCTAAGCAAAAGTCCATCTTTTTTACTTTTTTTTGTAGAGATCTCCATCAATCAGAATATAATGAGGTGCCAAAAGCTGAATTCTCTTATCCACGTTAGTACTAGGCTCCTGCAAAAAATGGATGATTGGTGTTCTCCAATCTTCCAAGTCTAAACCATCTATATCTACATTGAAAATCTCCCATACTTTCTTGGCAGGCTTGATCCTTTCTGGCTCATCATCTTGGAAACGACCTGTCATCTTATACCATGACTCTATAGAAGGAAGAGTCCTTCTTTTGATTGTGATCAAAGTTTCTTCTACACCCGATGGGACCTTTACTCTGGAAGCTAGCTGTGCTAAATCATCAGCCTCCGTATTCAAATGTCTTGGCCAATATTTGAGTTGGAAGTCATCAAACTGGCAAAGTAATTCCAAGGCCAAAGAATGAAAAGGCCTCAAATGCCAATTAAGACACCTATATTCTTCAAAAAGTTAGCTGAGTATCAAATTTGAATCTCTAATAATCTGGACCTTCTCCACTTTTAGCTCCAATAGGATTTCCAGCCCAATAATTAGCGCCTCATATTCAGCTTGGTTATTTGTACACTTGAAATCCAAGAAGAAAGAAAATGTGCTTTTTCTCCCCTTTAGTGAAATGATGACTATTCCAGCTCCTCCTCCATCATGAGTGCTTGATCCATCAAATATGAGAGTCCAAGGTATATAATCAAGGTAGAGATTATCCACCTCGTCACATATTTCTGAATCAATCTTGGTGGAAAGATGGTCTGCTAGAAATTCGGCCACCGCCCTTCCTTTGACTGCCTTTTGTGGAATATACTTGAAGGAAAACTCTATTAAGGACAATGACCACTTTCCAATACATCCAGTGATCAAAGGCCTTGAAAGCATATACTTAATCAAATCTGTTTGAGAAATGATATACACGGCCACTGGCAACATATAGGTTCTTAACTTCATAGCCGCATACTATAAGGAAAGGCACAACTTTTCAATGGAAGTATACCTATATTCTACTGGAGTGAGCACCCTACTTAGATAATAGATGACTTACTCCTTTCCCCACTCATTGTTTTGGGCTAGAAGAGTTCCAAGGGATTCGTCAGCGGCCAAAAAGTATAATCTTAAAGGCCGCTTCTTGATTGGAGGCATCATCACTGGAGGGTTGGCCAGATAGCCTTTCAGACCTTCAAAGGCTTACTAGTGCTGTTCCGTCCACTTGAACTCCTCAGCACCTTTCAATTTCAACAATGGGGAGAAAGCATGAGTCTTTCCAGCATGGTTGGCAATGAATCTCCTCAAATATCCAACCTAGCCAAGAAACCTTTGTAGTTCTTTCTTAGTGGCCGGTGGCTTTGCTTCAATAATTGCCTTTGCTTTATTTTGGTCTACTTCAATACCTCTTTGGTGGACTAAAAAACCCAGGAAATTTCCAACTGAAACCCCAAAGGCACACTTTAAAGGATTCATCTTCAACTTGTGCTGCCTCATTCTTCCAAAAGCGATCTTTAAATTATGGAGATGTTAAGCTTTGGCCGAGGATTTGATGACTACATCATCAATGTAGACTTCCAAGAAATGGCCAATTATGTCATGATATATTCTTTTTCAATTTTTTTTAGTTCTTTTTCTCTAAATCTTTCCATATGTATTAATATTTATTCTTTTTTTATTTCTTTTTCTCTTTTTATCAATTTGTCTATACGTATTTACATATAGACACACACATACATGCATCATTATCTTTCAAGAAAAGATTTTAATCAAATTTTTTTTATAGAAAAATTAGATTTTAGTGATCAAAACTAAACATAGTTGCTCTAAAAGTGATATTAGTTAGGGATATAGATCCTCACTTCACACTACATAAAACTACCTTCATAGTATTTTTTAAAAAATTTCTATAAAAGAAAATGGAATTACTATCAATGTGAACGTAATGTTTTAAACAATTATGATTTTTTTGGTGATTTTGAAGGACATTTATATTATATCACTATTCAAGTCCACTCTTGTATAAAAAAAAAAATTAAAAAAAAAATAAAATTTAAATTAAAAATTAAAAACATAGAAAATAAAAGAAAGGGTGAGAATGGGTTCATTCTTTGCTTCAAATTCATCAAAAGATGTATGACAACTTCTAGTAGCTGGGCTAGTCCAGGTAAGGTTGGACTTGATTTATAAAACCCAAGCCCAATTAATGGAATACACAACAGATGACCCATTCCGGCCCATGGACTTCCAAATATAGTATTTAAGAATGAAATTTCTTATTATTACTATCGATATTCACAAATATGTCGGATACTACTAAAATGTATCCATACTTTTAAGATATATATTTTTAAGGGAAAAGTGCAAAAAACCTCTTTGAAGTATTGGGGTTTTGCAACTAACCCCCTTGAATTACATAAAACCCCCTCGAACTAACAAATTGTTACATTTAACCCCTTAAACTAACAATAGGGTGCCGGAAAAGTCAAAAGACAACATTACCCTCAATTAATTAACCTCTCTTTAGTTTGGGCCTTCATTTTTTTGCAGAGAGAGAGGGAAAGAGAGAGAGCTGATGCCCCATCGCCGTTCAAAGCTGCGATTTGAAGCAACGACATATTTAATTAAATATAGAGTTGCATATTTAATTAATGATTTCTTAGCATATTGTTAATTATCTCATGATATATTAGTCTAAGGTTTGTTATATCTTAAATGTCACATGAAGCATATATTTTACCAACAATCTTAAAACAGATTCATTCATTGCGTAGATTTTATTGTAAGTTTCTATTTAAGATATAAATAAGTAGATATTATACTAATAGTTGAGATATGATAAAATAATGTTATATACATTATTATATGATAATATATTAAATATTAATGCATTCAATATTATGTGAAATTGAAGCATGTTATATAAGTAGATTATTGAATTATTCAATATTGGTTGAATTATTTAATTTTGTAATATGATATTATGAAGTATATGACATTACCTTAAACATATACCAACTAGAGGTGAAAAAGGGTACTTCATTACTTTATCAATGGTTGCACAAGATACCGTTATGTGTATTTGCCACGAAGCAAAGATGAAACCTTAGAAATGTGACATCATATGAATTATGGAAAGGTTGAAAAGTAAAGTGTGCAAGCTTATAAGTCCTTGAGTGGATTAAAGCTAGTACCAAGACAATGACATAAATGTGATGTATAAGTCATTGTATGCCTTAAAAAAATTAATGATATACTAATTAGTATATTTGATATGAAAGATTTAACATCTAATAACATAGTATATTCTCAATAGAGTGAGATTGAGATAATACTAGTTATGATAACAAAAGCCTAGCTAACTTTTGTAGATGTAAATCTCAAATATAAATACTAGCCAAAGTATATCATTGGTTGAGATTGCAAGGCATCTTAATAACTGTGTTTAATTGCACATTTTCAATACAGGATCGGATCACTACAAAACAATAAATTGGGTAGTTGAGATACACCCTAAATCCAATATTGCATAGATCGAGGTATCTAACTAAATTAGAGGTGTAACAGTGATGTAATCTGGATATGGGATATTAAAGACTTCAAATCCAATAGTGGATATGTCTTTTATATTAAAGGTGTAGTTCTATGTTCTTAATATAACTCAAAGTTAGAAACTTTGAATAAATCAAATAGGGAAGTCAATAGACTTCACCTAGAGGACAATTCAAAGTAAGTCTACACCTGTGCCACTAAAGAAAATGATGTTGCTAACAATAAGCAATTTTAGGGCATAAAGTATACAGTTGCTCTCACCTAGAGAAATCTCTGCAGGGTGTAATATTTCTAAACACAACCTTGTGGCCACATATAAAATTGAAGGTTGTACTAGAGAACAATTGTATAGATCATCGAGGGGAATGGGATTAAAAGCCGAAAGCTAACGAGTCACCTTAATGGAAACCCAACCTAGTTGACTGGAGATCCCAAGATCTGGGTTCAAAGGGACAACAAAAATTCCGAGTGACTCACCAGAAGTACTGGGAAGATATAAATCTTCTGCCCATTTCTATGATGAGACAATGCTACCTACAGCGAGGATTAGGATAAGCTACGCTTTTAATGACTCTTATACCTTGAAAATTCAAGTGGAGTATGTTAGGATACTCTTAATAAGAAGTCACCTATATGAGTTTGAAGTGGGGCCGCTTCTTTGAGAACTATAAAGGCTAAGTTTTCTGGAGCACTCATTGAATACCAGGACTTGTTCAGGGCCAAAATGAACACAACAATGAGAACCAACTTTGTGAGGAAAGGTACTGCGTGTTTGTTATTATCTTGGTTTAGACAAACGGCTGAACAGTTCAAGACATCGCGTTCACTAGTTAGCTAGTAAATCCGATAGCAATATAGTAGGGAAGGTTCAAAGCCAAAAGCTACATATCCTGATGCAGTAAATTTTCGACTATACTCTCTCTAGTGTCTGCATGATCATCTGTTGCATTTTACGCAAATTTCCATTCATGTGGGGGATTGTTGGAAACGGGGGCATTAAAAACATAAACTTTGGATGGGATTTGGAATAGATTCCGCTAAGAATTTTTTGCGGATCTCTAGACGAGCTTGTTTCTCTCCGCAAGGAGATGAACGTGGTATATTTACTTTCTTAAATCTGTTTCCGGGTGAATGAGAAATTAGTTCCAAAGTATGGTGTTTTGATAAGCCTAAACGGTTATGGAAAATGTGGGAAGTATTTGTCCCACATGGAAAAAATGTTAAAACAAATTGAAATTTAAATAAGTTGAGTTTAGGATTTGGGCTTGGGCTTGGGCTTAATTGTAAAGTCCAGATTATTCTTTTTTGGAATTTTGGATTGGGCCTAATTTTGGGTGGGCTTATTTAAATTAGTTTCACAAATGGGTGGGTTTTTTGGGTGATTGGTTTTTTGAATTAAAAAACTACTTTTTAGTTTTTCTAAAAGGTTACACCTTTTAAATTAAAAACCATATTTTAGTTTTTCTAAAAAGTTATACCTTTTAAATTAAAAAACCACTTTTTAGTTTTTTTTTCAAAGGGTTATATCTTTTTTTTTTGAACCATCATAACCCATGGTTGCAACCACTCGAAAAGACACATTGCAACCTATTAGAATGGATGTGTCTATTGGTGAATAGACACCATGTGAACCATTGCAACCTATTGGAATAGATGTGTCTAGTGATGAACAGACACCATGTGAACCATTGCAACCTATTGCAATGGTTGTGTCCAATAATGAAGAGATACACCCAATCCGAAAAGGCATTTCTGTTTCTATAAATACCCCCTTTGGATCATTTGCAAGTGATTCATTTTTATTTTCTTCTATCTCTCTCTTTAGACTTGAACCCAATCCAAGTGGGTTCAAACCATAGGTTAAGAGGTCTGAACCACTTAAAACTTAATTCAATTTCATCGAGCCATATTAAGATTGGTCTGAGCCATTTGGTTCGGATTACACACAATTCAGCATTTATATAGTATAGATGCATTTTTGAGTCAGAGAGAGTATTACACGGAGGAGGTTCGCCGTATCCACGAGTTTGTAGTGCTGCTACTAGTGGATGTAAACCGTTGTATCCTAGGAGATAGACGTCACTGAGTCCGTTAGCACTATAGCGGGACGAATCTGTCTTAATGACATAGTATCCAATACTAGCCTCGGTCTAGGTTCTTTATTTATTATTATTAGTTTATTAATTTATCTTGCATATTTAATTAAATATAGAGTTGCATATTTAATTAATGATTTCTTAGCATATTGTTAATTATCTCATGACATATTAGTATAAAGTTTGTTATATCTTAAATATCACATGAAACATATATTTTACCAACACCTACAGGTAATTCCACTCTAAGGGAACAAGATTATTTTAATAATTTAATCTGTCAAAATGTACCCTTATCTCAACCACAGGTGCAACGTC